TAGTAGTAGTAGTAGTAGTAGTAGTAGCCGCAGGTGTAATACTGGTAGTAATGGTAGTCGTAGTAGTAGTCGCAGAAGTTTTAATAGTAATAGTGGTAGTCGTGCTAACAGCAGTAGTGGCCGCAGTGGCAGTCGTGGCAGTAATGGCGGTGATAATCGCAGTAGTAGTAGTAGTAGTAGTAGCAGCAGTAATAGTAATAGTAATAGTAGTAGTGGTAGTAGTAATAGTAGTAGTAGTAGTAGTAGTAGTAGTAGTAGTAGTAGTGCTAGCAGTAGTAGTAGTAGTAGTAGTAGTAGTAGCAGTCGTAGTAGTAGTAGGAGTAGTAGTAGTAGTAAGAGTAGTAAGAGTAGTAGTAGTAGTAGTAGTAGTAGTAGTAGTAGTAGTAGTAGTAGTAGTAGTAATAGTAGTGGTAGTAGTAGTAGTAATAGTAGTAGTAGTAGTAGTAGTAGTAGTAGTACGTCGTAGTGGTACTAGTAGTAGTAGTAGTAGTAGTAGTAGTAGTAGTAGTAGCAATAACAATAGTAATAGTAGCCGTAGTCGTAGTCGTAGTCGTAGTCGTACTAATCGTAATGGCAGTAGTATCAGCAGGGTCGCATAACATATTCGTGTCAGGCCAAACGACACGTTTTGTTTACGAAACCCCGCCTCTGCATGTGTTTGATAGCGGCTGCTTCACGAACAAATCGAGAATGGACGTTCCACACGCCACCTTCGTGCATGTTATACCGAAAATGCCAAACGTCACCTTCGTGTAGTCGTCCTGACTACTGCCTCTATAGCTGCTGGATTAGGAGAAACAAACTACGATGTTTCACGCGTAACTTTCGTGTCGGGTTAAATTGCTATTGGAATCCGATTCAATTTCTGTTGTATCCATTGTATTCACAATGTGCTCTTTTTGTAATGAGTTCCTGGTGTATTCCGAATGTAATTACTGTTGTAGTGTATTCCTAAAGTACTCCTACTGCGCGGTACCGGCGGATGTTCATGTGACTCCTTCGGTAAACCCCTCGCGGTTTTCATTGAGAAAACCTAGGTTGTCGCCGACACACTCAGGGACCCCGCAGGGGCCCGCAAGAAGTCTCACGGATTTTCAGGCATCCATAGGAATCCGCTGGAATGTCAAGGAATCCCTAGGGGGGCCCTTTGGAATGTGCAAGGTCCGTCGGAATCCCCAACCGCCCTGCACCCTCTGACATACTCTGTCAGGAATCCGCACGGATCCTTTGGATGCTCAGGGAACATCGAATAATCATCGGGGGTTTTCGAGGAAAGGTATGCGACAAGGCTTCCAGCCAGCCCGAAGAAGAGGACAAACTACGGCAGCTCAAGTTTGGGCCGAACTGGTCGAAGGGGCGGATGAAACAAAAAAGCAAGTGAACCCCGTCGTGGCGTAGCCAACGTGCTGGCTGCATCTGGGCGTGGCGTTTGTAGCCCTTGCGTATCTTGCCCGCAGCGGTCCACTGTCGGGGCAAGAACATGCATCGGCGACATCCACTTGGTGGAAAGTAGCTTGCTGCCCCCGAGCGCCAAGATGCATATCCTCGTCGATAAGACTCCACCACGATGGATGTGAGCTGCGGAAACGCCTTCGGGCTCGGACCTGCGCAAGGACGAGCGCCATGTCAAAGCAGGTGGCAACCGTAGTAGCGCTGTTGCCCTTGATGGGCGCAACAGGTGGTGAGAGAACCAGTTACCCCGGATAATAGAGTACCCGCCCTCCCGCTCTTAACCCCTGAATGGTCATTCTCCCCGTGTCAGCAGGGTTTCATTGTGGAGAGGGGCGGCGAAGCCGAACTTGAATATCGCGGGGGGGAGTTGCGAACCGAAGTTGTTATCTTCTTAGCTGACTAACAACATCACCAAAAACGCTGAGCATGGCAATGGAGGTCTCACCATTTCACCTTTTCGCAAATCAGGAGCGCGTGGCCGGACCTCTCCTGCGCAGGCCACCTTGCGCGCCCAGCTCGGATTGTTTCCCCCATTTTTTTTATCCCCGCTGATGGACCGCCATGGACTCTTTTCCTCCTACACACGCGTTATTAACAACGATTGAAACAATTGAGTTACACATAAACAACCACCTTAGACCCCGAATCGAAGTTGTTTTGGAAAACTGGTTCTGGGGCTCATGCTTCTCATCCTCCTCCTGTTGATTGCCTTACGGGTTCCGCAGGATTTCCCATGGATGTATTTATTCCTATAGATGCAATTAGGACCCCATGCATGTTTTGAAGATCCCGATCGATTTCTTTAGGATCCCCCGGAATATCGTAAGAAGCCCCATGGATGTCCATAAAATGTTTGTGGATGTTTTAGGGAATCCGATGGATGTCCGAAGGAAACCCACAGATATCCCAAGGAATCCTGTGGAAACCCATCGGATTCCCATGGACTTCCGACGGGCTCCTATGTTTTTTTTTGTGTTTTTCTCATTATTCTTCTGACAGTCCAGGATCGTTTTGATCATGACCATCGCCACTACTTTCATCACTGTGATGAGATCCACGGGAAAAAACGTTTAGTATCCCCCCAGACCCCGAACTTTATTATCCCCCAGGGTTTAATCAGGGGTAGTAGGTTAACTACACACACGTTCAGTACTTCACTCGAGTTGCGCGACGCGCTTGCAAGGCCAGCCGACACTGTCGAACACATCACCATGCACGGCAGCACCCTGGGGGAAGAGCCTCGCAGTTATGCCCGGCGCGAAGCTGCGGCCAGTGCCTGTGAATGCACGGGTCGGGGAACGTCGTGGCGTTCCGGTGGGCGTGTCGCTCCACATCGTGCTGAAGCCTGTAGCTGCTGTTGCCCTGCGCAGCTGGACTCTCATACGTCCCATAAGTCATGGCATTTGTCGTCATCGTAACCTGTGAGCGTCCATGGCGATTTACCACACGGCTCGCAGAACAACCACAAGCACAAAGTGTTCGGGGATGGAGGGTGGATCCAATGAAGAGATTGGGGAGACTGCGAATGTGCGTCCACATCGCACCATGCGCAGTCCAGTGTATCGCGAGCTGGAATCGTTCCCAGCTCCGCTACCAACTGGAACTGTGGGTGGCAGTGGTGAAGGTAAGAAACAAGGTGACAATGGTAACATGAGAAATAGCAGATCGGCGGTCCTTCTCTCTTTCAGCATCATACAGAATGCGGGCCCGCTGTGAGCCAAGCGGCAACGGACCCCTCCTATTCGAGTGGAGCAGGAGGAGAAGGAGGAGGAGGAGGAGGAGGGGGAGGGGGAGGAGGAGGGAGGGGGCAGGAGGGAGGGACGAGAACGAGGAGGCCAGCGCCCTTGCTGTTCGTCCGAGCGCTGTCCTGGTTCAGCCCCGAGTGGATGGCGATCGAGGGAAAGTTACACTCCACCAGCAACTTGTCGAGCGCGATGGCGCGCTGCACGGACTTCACGAAAATTACCACCTTGGCGCCGGCCCTCCTCCACCTCCTCCACCGGCTCCTCTGGAGAGACCAAAATCAAAAGGCACCTATTATCCGCTACTCCCCGGACCTCTCCCGGGGCTCGTTCTGATCAGAACTTCGAGACGAATCCAGCGGTGGCGACGAGGGCCTCCCAGGAGACCCAAGAGGGGGAAAACGAGGGAAGGGCAGCGTGATGGGTACCCATTCCTCCACTGGCTCCTCCACCTCCACCCCCTTCTCCACACCCAGACCTCAGACGATGTATGATCCCGATCTGGACGTCTATCCTTGACGTCGCCTCCTCCTCCTC